CCTATTCATCCATCTATCTATCTATCTATCTATCTATCTATCTATCTATCTATCTATCTATCTATCTATCTATCTATCTATCTATCTATCTATCTATCTTAGAATAGAATAGAATAGAATAGAATAGAATAGAATAGAATAGAATAGAATAGAATAGAATAGAATGTTTAAATGGGTGTTATGTGTGTGTACACTTTGAGAGCAAGCAACTAAATTTCATTTTTAATATGTAGCATTGTGCCAACAGTAAAAAAAAGACAATAAAGGTTTATCTATCTATCTATCTATCTATCTATCTATCTATCTATCTATCTATCTATCTATCTATCTATCTATCTATCTATCTATGAATAGAATAGAAGAGAAGAGAAGAGAAGAGAAGAGAACAGAACAGAACAGAATAGAATAGAATAGAATAGAATGTTTAAATGGGTGTTATGCGTGTGTACACTTTGAGAGCAAGCAACTAAATTTCATTTTTAATGTGTGCCATTGTGCCCACGGTAAAAAAAAACACGACAATAAAGGTTCTGTATCTCAGTTGAGGACCACCGCCGATTACAACTCCTCTCTCCAGGAGATGGCAGTGCAATCCAACCATGGGAAAAAAAAAAAAGAACTTAATTCTCTTCCAAGCCTTTGGCTGTCTTGCTTTTCGTCCTACAGAGCCTCAGAAGCAGGAAGTGGAAAGGCTGAAGTTTGGGGTCAAAAACCGAGTCTTGGCAACCGGCCTCCGTCCCCATTTCCACCGAGCCCAGAGGTGAAATGTCTTGGGAAGATGGGGTCACCCCTCGGTCTGAACTCGGATCAGCCTCTTGGGTCTTCCGAAAAGGCTACAGGAAAATAAATAAAATAAATAAATAGACATTTTCAGAAACACTAACCTCCAGCTGCCATTTTAATCCCTGGGGGCAGGGGGAGGGGCTAAAGGCACTTTGCCATCCCTTTCCTATCCTCCCCCAACTTGCAAAGGAGAGGGGGGGAAAAAAAGATTCTAAAGAAGAATCTTGACATTTTGGCTGCCGCGTTGAATTGGCCGCTAAAATTCTACCTCTTTGAATATTTTCCAAATTGGAAAAAAAAGGCACTTGCGGTCCTCGACTTATAACAGTTCTGTGGAAAGTCAGTCCCCCACCCCAGAGAAGGAAATATTAAAAGGGCAGACAAATATATTTCCTCAAAGGATCTTAAAGAGGCAGAAAAGGATGCCCAGTTTTTCTTAATAGCCCCAA